GGCGGGGCCAATTTTGACCCCAGGGCTTTGATTTGAACAAACTTTGTAGACACTCACTAGAAGATGTTTCATGCTTAATAGCTAAACTCCAGCTATTTGGGTTTTTTAAAGAAGATTTTTTTAAGTTTTTGCTATACACATATAAGGAAAATCAATGACCCCCGGGGCGGAGCCAATTTTGACCCCAGGGCTTTTATTTGAACAAACTTGGTAGACACCTATTAGAACATGTTTCATGCTAAATATCTTAGCTCTAGCTCTTTGAGTTCTTTAAAAGAAGATTTTTTTAAGTTTTTACTATATGCATATAGGGAAAATCAATGACCCCCTGGGCGGGGCCAATTTTGACCCTAGGGCTTTGATTTGAACAAACTTGGTAGGCACTCATTAGAAGATGTTTCATGCCAAATATCTAAGCTCTAGCTCTTACGGTTTTTTAGAAGAAGATTTTTTAAGTTTTTCTTATTGGTTGCCATGGCAACCAGAGTTTTTTAATGGAATTTAAATTTTGAACAACTTTGAAAGGGGTCCACCTAAGGATCATTTCTGTAAAGTTTGGTTGCAATTGGCCATGTAGTTTAGGAGGAGATGTTGTTTGAAAAGTTTGACGCCATTTTTTGAAGGACGCACGACGCACGACGCACGACGCACGACGGACGCAGAGTGATGACAAAAGCTCACCTTTGAGCACTTCGTGCTCAGGTGAGCTAAAAAGCAAATCATAGTTATGGGACTTGTGCCAATTATCTTAGATAATCACAGAGAACAAGTGTGTGAAGTTTCAATCCATTCCCTTCAGTAGTTATGGAGATACCAGCTTACATACAAAAACTTAACCAAGAATTTCTAAGTCGAAAAAGGGGCATAATTTTGAAAACAAGCATTTCTTTACCTCTTACACCAACTATCTCCTTTTCAAGTAATTTCAAGAATATGGCCCGAGCAATAACAAAAAAACTAAACCTGGTAGTAGTTTTTGTATCATTCATAAGTTTGCTGAATGTATACACCAAAACTCAATGAAAACAAAAAAGCTTTATAAAACAGTAGAGTACATGTTTGTTATAAATAATAGATTACCCACCTCTGAGCCATGTTTTAGCCTTAGATGGCGCCTCAGCCAGCCAGAATAAACGTATGTTTTTCCACAAAGGGAACAATTATATTTCCTTTGTTTACCTGTTGATGAAGAGAAATAAATAAACATATACATCAAACATGATATAAATGCAATAAAACATAGAGTGTAAAAACAAAACTGGCAACATATCTTATCTATTGTAAAACATTTTCCTGAAGTAAACTTTTAAATACAAGCAATTATCATAGTATTGCAAGCAATCCATAAGTCCCCTACCAGTAAGAGCCCAAGCAACATTCTGAAGGGCCATTGGCCATTCACTTATGTTCCTATCTTTGTTGAAAAAGTACTCTAAAAGTGATCAGAGGAAACAGTTTTTATGTACAGACAGACAGACAGACAGACAGACTGAAGGACACTCTAAAGTTATTTTTTAAACATCCCTGTTATCAAAATATAATATTTTTAAAATCCTATCATGATTAAAGAAGTTGGAGTAAAAATTACCAATTTCTCAAAAAAAAGTTCAAAAGGGGCATTATTCTGGATATATTCTGGATATAATCTTGCTAGAGTATTGAATATTCACAAATGTTGAGTGATAACAAGAAACATTTATATGAAGTTTGAAGTAGATACATTCAGAAAAAGAAGTTATTAAAAAAAACAATAATTTTTTCATGAAAATTTTATGTTCAAGGGAGGTTATTCTGATAAATTTTGTGCTAGAGTTGTAAACTTTGTCACATATGATGAGGTTGATGACAAGCAACTTATATTTAAAGTTCGAAGAAAATACCTTAAGAAATAAAGTACTTATAGTTAAAAAACTTAAAAACTAGAATCAGAAATCTTGAAATTCAGTCTATTTGTTGCCATAGCAACCAGAACTTTCAACATAGGAAGATAAGAAAAGGATGTGCATAATTTCCATACTGCCATCTACCCATATGTCAAGTTTCATAAAAATATTTTCAGTACTTTTTGCGCTATCACTGGATCCAGGTTATGTGTAAAATTTGCCATATTTTCAGTCTATTTGTTGCCATAGAAACCAGAATTTTCAACATAGGAAGAAAGAAAAAGACGTGCATAATCTCCATACTGCCATCTATCCATATATTAAGCTTCATAAAATTTTTTTCAGTACTTTTTGCATTATCGCGGGATCCAGGTTATGTGTAAAATTTGCCATATTTTCAGTCTATTTGTTGCCATAGCAACCAGAATTTTCAACATAGGAAGAAAAGAAAAAGACGTGCATAATCTCCATACTGCCATCTATCCATATATCAAGTTTCATTAAAATATTTTCAGTTCTTTTTGCGTTATCGCGGGATCCAGTTTTGAGTACGGACGGACTGACGGACGGACAGACTGACTGACAGAGACAGACGGACGGAGGGTAAACCTAAAGTCCCCTCCGGTAAACCGGTAGGGGACTAAAAAGCAAATCAGAGTTATGGGACTTGTGCCAATCATCTTAGATAATCACAGAGAACAAGTGTGTGAAGTTTCAATCCATTCCCTTCAGTAGTTATGGAGATACCAGCTTACATACAAAAACTTAACCAAGAATTTCTAAGTCGAAAAAGGGGCATAATTATGAAAACAAGCATTTCTTTACCTCTTACACCAACTATCTCCTTTTCAAGTAATTTCAAGAATATGGCCCGAGCAATAACAAAAAAACTAAACCTGGAGTAGTTTTTGTATCATTCATAAGTTTGCTGAATGTATACACCAAAACTCAATGAAAACAAAAAAAAAACAAGAGCCCGGTTTGAGCCGGGTGATGCTCCCCGAATAGGTTTTGGACACAGGAAAGTACACCTCTTGTAGTTTCAGAGTTATGTCCGTGGAAAAAGTTCAAAGTGCAATAATTCCAAAATTAGGCAAGGCAGAGTTACAGTTCTTTGCACTGCACTTCTAATCAATGTGATCTATCAACCTACAAAGTTTCTTGATGATATCTCTTATGATTTCCGAGTTATGTCCTGGACAATTCAAAAAGTAAAAATAAACAAAGGGCAATAACTCCAGAATTAGGCAAGGTAGAGTTATGATTCTTGTGCACTGCACATCTACCCATTGAGATTTATCTACCTACAAAGTTTCATGTTGATATCTCTTACAGTTTTACAGCAATGTCCTTGACAAGATTTTTCTAAAAGGGGAGATTATTCAAAAATAAGGCTTAACAGAGTTATGGTTCTTTTGCAGTGCACATCTATCCATTGAGATCTATTCACCTACAAAGTTTCATATTGATACCTCTTATAGTTTTAGAGTTATGCCCCGGACAAGATTTTTCTACAAGTGGAGATAATTCAAAAACCGGGCAAAATAGAGTTATGGTTCTTTGACACTGCACTCCCCCTCAATGCCCCTTACCACTGTATGAAGTTTCAACAAATTATCTCCAAGGGTTTTCAAGTTATGCTCCAGACAAAGTTCAAAGTATTAAAATAAACAAAGGGCAATTACTCCAAAATTAGGACAAAAGAGTTGTTGTTCTTATGCACTGCACATCTACCCATTGAAATCTATTCACCTACAAAGTTTCATGTTGATATCTCTTATAGTTTTAGAGTTATGCCCCGGACAAGATTTTTCTATAAGGGGAGATATTTCAAAAACCGGGCAAAATAGAGTTATGGTTCTTTGACACTGCACTCCCCCTTGATGCCCTCTACCACTGTATGAAGTTTCAACAAATTATCTCCAAGGGTTTTCAAGTTATGTTCCGGACAAAGTTCAAAGTATTAAAATTAACAAAGGGCAATAACTTCAAAATTAGGACAAAAAGAGTTATTGTTCTTACGCACTGCACATCTACCCATTGAGATCTATTCACCTACAAAGTTTCATGTTGATATCTCTTATAGTTTTAGAGTTATGCCCCGGACAAGATTTTTCTATAAGGGGAGATAATTCAAAAACCGGGCAAAATAGAGTTATGGTTCTTTGACACTGCACTTCCCCTCGATGCCCTCTACCACTGTATGAAGTTTAAACAAATTATCTCCAAGGGTTTTCAAGTTATGCTCCGGACAAGACAACGGACGGACGGATGGATGGACGGACGGATGGACGGACAGACGGACAAGGCGCCGACTATATGCTCCCCCGAAATTTTTCGGGGAGCATAAAAATGTTTTATAAGTGGTTATAATATTCTCTTAATCCATTAGTGTTCATTTTCCAGCTTTTACTATATATTAAATCCTATATTATTTGTTAACGTGACATCTTTACAATTTGTGTATTTATATTGTAGTGATGATGCACTATGTACGAATCCAAAATAAAATTCTGTTCTGTTCTTTACAAAGTTTTATATCTAATGTTTTAACTATTTTTTATTCTATCATTCTAGACAATTTGGATAAGTCTAATAGTCTAATGTCAAAATGCAATAGATTTCACTTACCAAAATGGTTTTAAAACACAAAATTTACTTAAATACTAAAAATGACATATTCGAAGAGAAAAATAAAATGAAGTGTTAAAAGACCAGACTTCAAAATTGCATTTGATATAGATTTTATAATCATATCTTTTCCGATCCTAAACCATTTTATTCTTATTATACCATATTAAATCTGCTTCAATTGTTTTCTTTCTAAATGTTGTGTAGCTTGATAATCAACCCTTATGATACCAGTGCCAGTTGTATGTATATTTTAAGTAATGTTTTCCCTGTTGTTGTCAGCATTTATAGAACAGCTGTTGCATAATCTGTTAGAAGATGGATAGACATGTGTCTTCTAAGGGGTAATGGGATGTGAGAGTATACATAGATATATCTTATTGAATGAATGAAAACAAAATTATTGGGTGTGTTGCAGGTTTGTTAATATAACAGATATTGATATATCAACACAAATTTACATCATTATTTCACAGCATGATTATAATAAATGCACATACAAAATAGTTTGCTCATACCAACATTTTCTTAGGCGATTCCCTATTATATCATTTCAATACTATTTCTTTTTAATATCTTTTTGATAATGTTTTATGGACTTTATATATCTTATTTTCAGAGGAATAGGGCTAAACAAAGTATGGGATGAATGATTGCAGAAGACAATATTAAGCGAGAGTCCAGCCTTTTATATTTTGGCGAACATAAATCAATCCGTTGATTGGATGTTGCAAGAGCTTTCCATATTTCCAAGTTAGGAGAAGCTAAATGGGCTCTGTTTGAAAAGATCCAGAATTTCTGAGGTAAATAAATGAAAAACCCTCTATATTTTTAATACACTGTACCAGATTCAATTTTGTGTACTACTGCATAGATAATCTTTCTAAAGGGAATTCACATTTGTAAAAGCTAAATGGGTTTCTTTTAAAAGTGTTTTATTTTAAGTGTCCAAAACTGCAGTTTTCCTACATTCTCAGAATTACTAAGATCAGAGATTTGTTTATTGGTTTTTATGTCACATCGACACTTTACAGGTCATATAATAACTTTCAAGCTTTACTGGTGAAGGAAAAAGTGTGACATAGGTATTTGTTTTAGCATGTAGAACCACCAATATTCTATAAGCTAGTTTGGGATAGCTATGTCAGATAATAGATTCCAAAAGCCAAGGCAGGACTCGAACCTACATCAGTTACACCGTTAGAAGCAAGTGTTTTGAAGTCAGTGACCTTTAACAATCGACCAAAACTTCTAATTTAGTTATCTGTATGAAAGTATAGGTGCCGTTTTGTGCAATATTTTCTACTTATATGGCACATTATGATGTTTCACAGTCAGCGCTTCTTTCAGCCGATAGGCAATTTACACGCTCTCAATTTGTTATAACAATATAACATGAAACATATTTTCTGAAAAAGAAAGCTGAGGCACGTTTTTGCTGAGGCTAAACGTGCCTCATTAATGTATGAAATATTTGTAGATAATTCAATATAAAAATATAAACACAATCCTATCTTGCTACATTTTCAGTTTGACATAAAATTGTTTTATTTTAAAAGCAGAATGCATAGTTCGCATTTTTATTTATCATATTATGTTGTAACAATTTTACAGATGCAAAACAACGTGTCTCTGTGAAAAGGGCAGGCTAAAGGTTTCAACAGCACCGGCCAAAAAAGTGGAGCTAAAACTTCAGCATTGAACAAGGGCAGGGCAATATGTATATGGCAATATGTATATATACATGTGTAGCGTTGTCATACTATATGGGTAGTCGGGCCTCGGTGACAAAAAATGATGAAATAACATTGTGATTTTTCAGTGTCTTAACATTCAGAAGATTTATTTTAAAATGTCTTTTTACAATATTTTTTTACAAAACTTCCATGGTAAAGGAAGTGCAATTTAGCATTGGTAAGATATTTACTTGAAGGCTTGATTTTCAGAACAGAAATGCAAATACAATGTATTTAAATAATAATCATTCGTGTAAAATGTATTGCAATTTTGAATTATGATATGAATTTAGATAGATTCATACAACTTTATTCTTCGTAGAGCTAATTTGTAAAAATATTTAATGGAATCTGACTTAAAGTAAAAAAAAAAAAAATTATCATTAGTGGGTTGGGTAATTTTTAATACCAGTCAAATGATGATGTATAGATTATGCAGTGTTGCGACTTTTTGAATGTAATGAACATTGGTTGATGACCATATTTGCGTAGAATATCTGGGTTATTTAATTTCACAATTTTCTAATTGAAAACACATGATTTCAAAGCATGACATTTTTAGCATTTTATACTTCGAATTTTTTTGAGGACTTTTTTCCAGTAGCAACCCATATTATAGTAGATAACAAATATGCAAATATCTTTTCTGAAGGAATTTGTTTGAGGTTGGGTCTTATTTTTGGCTAAAATGCCTAGCCTATAGAAATCATATGGTAAGCAGACAATCGGGTATCACAACACTATTTTCTAGTTCCAGAGAATACTGGGATTTCAAAACCTTTCAGGAAACCATCAATTTTAAATTGTGATATTTACCTGACTTTTTAGCAGCAGCACCACGTTTAGGTTCTGGGCTGGCTTTCCGTTTAGTTGATTTTACTGGAGAAATTGTCTTCTTTTGATTTTTTGGTGTTGGACTTGCTACTTTTGGGGCTCTACGAGTAGCGCGACCTCTTTTAACTGGAGTTGCTTCTTTTGTAGTGGTCACTAAACAAATAGATAATATAAATTAGTTCATTTGAAAAATATGATATTTATTAATAAAGCGGTACGTTACGATACCGAAATCAACTTGATTTTGGTAAAGTTACCGAAATCAACTTTTCATTACTGAAATCAACTTATAAAATCACAATTAAGCGTTTCATTATATTTTTTTCATTATAATATATTACAATAGATAAAGTTTGACTTTCATGCAAAAAATCAGTTCGAAATAATTATTAATAATGAAATTAGAAACAAATAACTAAATATCAAGATTACTTCCCTGATTTGTCACGAACCGAAATATATGTTACAATACCGAAATCGACTTGTAAAATCATAATTAAGCTTTCTATTATATTTTTTTCATTATAATCTATTACAATAGGTTTAGTTTGACTTTCATGCAAAAAATCAGTTCGAAATAATTATTTATAATGAAATTAGAAACAAATAACTAAATATCAAGATTACTTCCCTGATTTGTCACGAACCAAAATATATGTATATGTTACCATACCGAAATCGGCTTGTAAAAGTTAAAATAAACATTTTAATAGATCTTGTTTAATTAATTAATATAAAGTCATTCAAACTGAACCATAAACAAAGGAAAATAATATTTAATTATAAAAATGATGATGTTAACTTATAGACGGATATGTATATTTATTATATCATGATTACTTCCCTTGTTATTAATGTCTTGCATTACCATTCACAAATAATGAAGAAATAATAGCAATATTTTAACTAGTTTGGTTTTTACGAGTTGATTTCGGTAATGAAAAGTTGATTTTGGTAACTTTACCGAAATCAAGTTGATTTCGGTATCGTAACGTACTGCATTACTCATGCCAACTCTTCCAACCAATGGAAATCCTTTCACTGTTAGTAAAACCATTCAAGTTATGAGCTTTTTATATTTTTCATGCCTCTTTTTTATATACAGAAAAAAAAAGCAAATAAGTGATTACGGACATATCTAAAACATAATTTATCTGCTTGCATTTGTTTGTTTGGATTTTACGGCACGTCAACACATAACTGGCCATATCGTGCCGAATGCTATAATAGGCTTAAAATATTATGTTAAACATCGTAAATAACAATAAAAATGAGCCAACTAGATCCTAGAATACAAGTTTATCTCTTTTAAATAATCAATTATGTTTTTTGATGGAATTGTATTAAAAAGTTCTTTGAGTGAATTTACAGAATAAAATCTATTACGGGCCTGTGAAAAATCATGACATTCAAGAAGAAAATGCTTGACAGTAAAATTTTCATTACAACCTACACAGAAAGGGGCATTGTCATTTGTGAGGAGATAAGAGTGGGTAATTTTAGTGTGTCCAATTCGGCATCGAAGAAGAACTGTTTGATCACGGCGATTTGACAGAGATAGAGATGGTGACATAACAAGAGATGGGTTTATATCGTGAAGTTTATTAAAAACGGCATTGTCCCAATTTGCTTTCCATTCAGATGATACGAGTTTATTTATAGCCGGTCTAAAATCACAAGCATGTAACAATAAGTCAGTTTTTTTAAAATTTAATGATTGTTTAGCTAAAGCATCTACTTTTTCATTTCCTCGTATTCCTACATGGCTTGGAATCCAATATAATTTAACATATTTTGATTTAAGTATATCATGAAATCGCAAAAGAAGTTTCTTTACCATGATATTGTCAGATTTTTTATTTTTAATGGATATTAAAACAGAAAGCGAGTCAGAAAATATCACAAATTTATCGTGGGTATGCTGTGCTATGTATGACAATGCTAAATCGATAGCTTTTGCTTCAGCAGTAAAAATTGATGCATTATCTGGTAACCTCATACTAGATGTAAAATTATTTTCAAACACAGCCGCACCGCACCTACTTTGCAACCTTCTTTTGAACCGTCCGTATAAATATGTATAAAATCTTCATGTTCTTCCTTAATTGCTAGAAACTTGCAAGACCTGGTAATCTAGTCATTCTGGGTATACTAATTGTAGCAAGGATAATCGAGTGTTATACTATATGCAATGTTCGAGGTGTGAAACTCTAAAACTAGTAGCATTTAGAGGTGTAACGATTCATCGATGCATCGATGCATCGCGATCTGCCTTGTCCTCGATGTATGCATCGTAATGAAATTACAAATTCCAATATATTGCGATGCAATACATATTTCACCTCCCGATGTATCGATACAGCGGGAAGTATCACAATACAGTAACAATATCTTCCAGGAATATAAGGACAAACGTATTTTTTGAAAGACTGAAGAAAGAAAAATAGCTCGGATGAAAACAATGAACAAGCGCGACTATTATCATATCATCGTTGTCATCTCGTTTCCCCATGTCCGCAATCATTTAACGGTAACTAACAAAGTTTTATCAATTCCATATAAATGGGCTGGTGTTGTTTGAACTTGTTTATAATAAATAGAGATCTATGTGTTTTCAACAAACATGAATTTTTAATTTTATTTAGTCGCACTTGATGTCGGATTAAAATAGTGATGATGATAACATTCCCATGTGATATTCGTCACGTATTTATACTTTCATTTCCGTTGACATCATTTTCTTGCATATCAGACTGGCGTTTCCGTTAGTTTTACCCATGCCGGAAATTTCATCTGGCATGGGGGGTTCCAGATGAGTCGCGTGCTGTACAATGGCACGATAAAGATGACGTCATTTTACCGTTATGAATGATTTTGTAATTCATGCGCTGTTGAATGAAAGTAGTTACAGTTGTAATGATATAAATTTTCATTGAAAATAAAGATAAAGAATTTAAAATATAATGGAATATGGTAGAATATGCAAGAAAAAAAATCTGACATGTTTGCGGTTCGGATCGGAATATCCGTCCCTCGGTCACCCGCCCATGGGCGGGTCACCTCGGGACGGATATTCTGATCCGAACCGCAAAATATGACAGATATTATTATTCCCGTAAAAAAACAAAACAAACAAACAGAAAACATGACTGTAGACTGCAAAATATTTAGAAGGAGAAACTATAGTTAATCCTCCCTGGTCATACAATTCACGAGTTTTGGGAACATTGTAGTTTTTGGGGAACCAACAAACAGTGTTATAATGATGAAGACCGGACGTCGAGTGTTTGCAAAATTTGCAAACTCAAAATAAAATACTCTGGGGTTGAGCACAAATCTTTCGAGAAAAATGAGAGTGTAACTGATTAACTGTTATTTTCACAGTTGTTGACCTAATAGTAAATCACTTGTTACTATTTTTTCACAAGAAAAATCTTTAGTGAAGTATTGTAAGACTGAATTTTTTAAACTGCCATATTTACAGTAGAGGACTTTAGTGTTAGACTAGTAGATATCAATTTGCTGTTATGGTATAATTAACAATACTTTTAATCCTTAGGTAATCAGAAAAGTAAATTGTTGAAAGATCAAAATCAGAAACCAAGTTATAACAACAAGTTAAAGAGTTTATTTTTTTGTTATTGTAATAATTTTATATTATAATATTTATATTGGTAATATTATGCTGTAAACAAATGGCCAAATTTTATGTACTAAGTCTGAAAGTCAGTATCGTGATACGTATCGCATCGCAACATAAGAATCGCAATATGCATCGCATTTTTTCAAAGTATGCAATACATATCGTGAATCGCATCGTTTTGAAAAACAAGTATCGTGATATGTATCGTTACAGAAAAAAATGGCAATGCACAGCCCTAGTAGCATTCTGGTAACTCTATTCAAATTCCATATGATTTAATGAAACTGCAACAAACCATGTCTGTATATTTGACAAATATGTATACTCGTTAATAATGTTCTGTCAGTTAAGAATCCTATTAAATGAAAATTTCAATATTTTCAGTCCTGTTATATAAAAACACCTTATTGGAGTCTTTTTCATAGAGTAACTTTTTTTATTTACTAAGCTTTAACAGTAAATTATTACTTGTGAAAATACATTTTTATCAACTTGCATGTTAATTTTTTTTAAAAGAAACTGAATTCATACCTCTTTTCTTTGCACAGGCAGTCTTTTTAAGTCCACCCCTTCTTGTTGCCCTGTGCACAAGTTAAAAAAGAGACAGAATGATATTTTTTCATACACTGTAAATGAGGAGGCTGTTAAGATTTATTTGATGGAACGACAAAGCGAAGCTGTCATTTTTTTCATTATTATTTGCCATAAAAACATACACACCTTTATCAAAGAAAAAAAACACTTTATGTATTGGAGGTATTCTCAATTACTTTTCTTAATCTTAATCTTTTTCCTCTAAGCTTATAATATCAATAATAATAAACTTGAAAATGGCAGAACAGTACAAAAAAAATTCATGTTATGTGTGTAGAAAAACTAACCATCCTATTTCTAAAACAATCTGCA